GAATGTCCTTCAATTTCAATGGATTTTATTTACGTAACTTCTTCACTGATTTCAAAGTGAACCCTCAAATCAACTTCTGCTGCTTCTCTTGCATCAACGTCTGTTGCAATTACGCTCGCTGTCATGGGACAGTATAATCAACTGGCTTCACCTGTCGGATCTTTGGTCGTTACTGTTGCCATGTTTGACGACATAATCTGTCTCGTTATATTGGCCATCGTCGCGCAAATATTCTCTGACACTACTGACGCCTGGAAAATAGCTCGTCCCATCATTTCCAGCACCGGAATAATCGTTGTTGGCATAGGGTTGACCTTTGTCATGCCAGCAGTGATTCGCAAGGTGAGACCATATGCCGCGGCGAGATCAGAAAAATTCTGGCGCGAATTGTTTTTTGACTTTATGCTTGTGTATGGTGGGGCGTTCAGTTTCATTGCTGAACTTGCCGGAAGCACCCGCTTACTTGGCGCATTTATGGCTGGAATGTCACTCGCCAATGTCTCTGAAGCTAGTCAATTGTGGGAGAAAAGAGTTTACAGTATCCAGAGGTGGCTTCTCCCCATTTTTTTTGCCTCCATAGGTTTCATTATTCCAATCAAAGGTTTGTTTACCCCAACGAATTTTGGTTATGGCATCGCCTATTCCGCTGTGGCTACTTTTGCAAAGTTTATTGCTGGTTTCCTCACTAGCATGGACGACAAGGTAGCGATCGGGCTTGCTATGGTTGCCAGAGGGGAGGTGGGATTAGTCATTGTAAAACAAGCTTCTGACATTGGTATAATGAACGTTAATGCCATGTCTGTAACCTGTTGGGCTCTTATTCTCTGTACCATTATCGGTGCAGTTGGGTCTAACTATACTATTAAACGGCTGGTTCAACTCAATGTTGGAGAGAGTGATGTCAACATTGAAAAGTTTGCCGCAAAGGATGCAGTCGATGACGGTTCAGATTCCGACAAAGATAGTTTTACAAATTCAATTACCTGTGTAGCAAATAGTGAAATGTTTAAAGCATTTAAACAGTTACATGATGATGTGAAACCCAACGAGACGATTGAAATCGTTGAGGATACGGTAATCGAAATTGAGGAGACCAAGGAAGGTCAAGAAGCTGAAATTATAAACGAGAAAATAGCTGTAGTTGAAATTGAGGAGACCAAGGAAGGTCAAGAAGCAGAGATTATAAACGAGAAAATAGCTGAAGTTGATTTGAGGGTTCACTTTGAAATCAGTGAAGAAGTTACGTAAATAAAATCCATTGAAATTGAAGGACATTC